ATAGATTCTTAAACTGCAGAAAAGAAATTAAAACCCTTCGAAGGACCTGTTCATCGCCTCCAGCCTTTATTTGGTTAACCAACATCCTCATCATCCGAAATTCAACGAACACGCGAGGAAGAGAAAGGCCGCTCTTCCCCCAACAATATATATACACGCATATATGCAACTGGTATAAGGTGGCTGTGCTATTTACAATTGTTACTGGTTTTTCATGTATTTTATTTTTTATTCAGCAACCTGACAGCAGTCGGTAGGAACGAGCGATGGTATCTCTCCTTCTTGCAGCGCGGGTGTAACAGTCTCTGGCTGAAGGAGCTACCTAGTGCTGTCAGGGCGGGCTGGAGGGGGTGGGAGGGACTGTCCATCATAGCTTTTAGCTTAGCTAGCATCCTCCTGTTGCCCACCTCCTCCAGAGTGTCCAGGGAGCAGCCCAGGACAGAACTGGGCCTCCTGACCAGTCGCTCCAGTCTCTTTCTGGCCGAGAAGCTGCCTGACCAGCAGACAATGCCATAATGGATGGCCGAAGCCACCACCGAGTTATAGAATGTCTTAAGGAGTGACCCTTGAGCCCAAAAGACCTCAGTTTCCTGAGTAGGAAGAGTCGGCTCTGTCCCTTCCTAATCAGGACGTCCGTCTCTTCTGGGTTGTACTTGCAAGCCACCATATTTTTCGCTGTGAAGAGTCTCATAGTGGCATTGAATATTATATTCCTTCCATACCGAAACTTGTTGCAAACACACCAAGCACAAAGGTTTTCTGTGCATTTCTATGAATAAATAGGACGTTGTCCATTCTTCATTGAAAATTTTACACTCCCTATCTACTTTTCTCCGTTTGGATAATGATATTTTTTCTAATGAGGGTGTAGGGGAGGGGTACAGACTGGGATAGAGATAAGGGTAGATACAACGTCCTAACAAGTAACAGATGGCGCATTGATACCGTCTGCTGTGTTGGGTCTGTCTCAGGGACAGACTGAGACTGTTGTTGTCTTCTTCTCTGATCAAAACAATGTTGTCTTCTACTCTGATCAAAACAGTGTGTCCCCTCGCGGATTATCGATGAATTGCATTTTATTTAAAATATTCATTCCCTGTCTTTTATGCATTTTTTTCACTTTTAAATTATCCTGCAGGCCTGATCGAACCTCCTTAGGGGCCGGTTCCGGACCGCGGGCCATATGTTTGACACCACTGCTATACAGCGTCCTAGTCATTCGCCCCTCGAACTGTGAGGAGTTACGATAGTTTTATGTAAATGTGATTCACCCAGAAAAAGTGTTCACCAGTCAGGCGATCCCTCACTCTGCTGATGTTTGCCTTGGGGCATTTTTGAAAGATTGCTAAAAGCCGACAAATGCAAACGTCTTTGGATCAGTTCTTTCCAAAACGCCAGGCAAAAACCAGTTCTGAGATTGAACATGGAAATGCAAAAAACTATGAGGACGCAGTTAAAAGTGAATTGACCATCATTTTTATTCTTTACTCTAGTCTTTGTTTTTTACATTATGCACAACTCTCATTTATTGTGCAATAAGCAAATTGTAATTTTCATGCATTTTCATGCTTTAGGAAACATTTATGTCTGAATTTTGGGGGGACTTGGAACGAATTAGGGCATTTACATGGAAAACACGTCTCTACTTACAAGATGAAGAAATTAATTCCAGAACCAATTAATTTCGTAAGTAGAGGTACCACTGTATACTAATGTGTACCAACAGTTTACTAATCTCTTCCCACATTTTACTAATCTGTCACCACAGTTTAGCACAATTAGAAACGAATGACACATGAAAAAGAATCATGTTGAATAATGTTAAATGTTTCGTGTTTAACAGCTCTCTGTGCTAAACTATGATTTATTGAACTGTAATGGTCAATGCTTCCGTTCTGATGAAATTTCTGACGGAAAAGACATTGCCTATTACATTTAAAGGATTTTTTTCTGTAACCAATTCTATCCCCAGTTGAATGATACAATTATCAAAGGCTATAAAAAAAACCCAAAAAACAAAATGAGCAACCAGTGCTTGTTCCTAATCTCTATAGAAATTGTATTTCAAGCATTAAATGCACCAACATTTCTTAATAAAGCTAAGAAAATAATTCTGCATGCGCATTTTTTTGGAATGCTCAATTTAGAAATATTCGTTGAGTAAGATGTGGCTTGTTACTTTTAAATTATTAATTCCAAATAAAGTTAGGGAATTACATTTAGAAATACGACAGAATGTATACCCAATCTAAATGTATGTTTCACGTTTCATGGCTATTGATAACAACTGTTCTTTTTGTAAAGCTGAAATAGATTTTTTTTTTTTTTTTTTGTGGCTGCCCCATTAGTGCCGCATTTTGGACCTGGAGAACCATATACTTTGCAAAACAAATTCAAAAATTCCATTGGATGGGGGGGGGGAATCTTATTCAGTTTTAATCTCAAGAAAGTAAAGTTGTGAAATATTGTTCATTTGTTCAGAAAGTTTAACATCC